AAAAAAAAAAAAAAAAAAAAAAGGCAAAACCTCAGAAATGAAACCTGCAGTTACTGCTCTAGCTACTCTCCGTAGGCACCATCTTGTACGTGCCCTAGAAAAAGGAAATCATGCAGTATCTCTTCCCATACGCTTTCTGCATTAAGTCATTACATTCTTCGATACAGAGACACTTATTGGTTGGTAGAGGATTAGTTTAACTGAGCCACAAGTCAGGATTTCTTGGCACAACGAATACCAGCATGAGACCGGCCAACGCTAAGTCCCTCCAGACTCGAGATATATCTATTCAAGGCGTCTGGAAGGGATACGGATCTTGAGCAGTTCTATAGGGGAAGGAGCCGGGTTTACGCGGGGAAGAATCGGGAGGCCGTCTTCTCACATGACACTAGTTTCAATGACAACTGAAAACATACACAAAGTTTTTCCAGCCATCAGAATGCTGCCAAAAAGACTGGTGAGAGGAGAGTATTTCAAAATATATTACATAATGGAGGAATTTCCTCTCTGCAGAGCTGTTACACAAAAAGTAAGGGGAAAAAAGAAATTAAAAAAAAAAAAAAAAGAAAAGCAGAAAACTGAAGCCTGTGGGGTTTTTTTAAAGTTTGTGATAAATGACTTTATTTTTTTAGATTCATGAGAAATTTCAGCGAATGTAGGAGAAATTTCTCTTTCTTTCCAGTTTTGTAATAACCCCACATTTGTAACGACTTACGTTTTGCTAAGTTGTTATCATTTTCGGTACGTATAAAAACAGTAACGTGAACTGCAAACGCAGGAAACAATCGCTTTGTGAAGTGAAGCTGAAAACACTAAACTGCTCTCTTGACCTTCTATTCCCAAGTTACGAAACAAAACATTTAATAGTTGGGTTTCTAACCCAGCAAAAAGCAATTTATTAAGCTCAGCTAAACTATGCTCTTTCAGTTACAAACCGTTAAGTAAAAATACTGCTAAAAGTCGTTTCTGCTATTTATAGAAAAACTTATAATAGGAGAAGATATTTCACAAGATACTAATACGCAACCGGAGTCCAGACAACTGCATACTTTATGCAGATTTTTAAAATCCCTTGAAAAAATCCTGTCTAATATTGATGACATTTGGAACAATCATGGGATTCAGAATCGAGTCATGCAGAGGTTAACGCTGTCAACATCACAGGAAGATGCTGAACTGATGCTCTGTCTTGGGTGGTAGTCTTAAAGAATAACTTGTTGGTAAAAGTTGTCGAGAATTGAAATTCTACTGTCCGTTTTCTTTCGGGTTCTCCTTTTTGCACCAACTGTTTGGCTCTGCTGCCTCATTAAGCAAACCAAAGACATTTTCTGGGCTTTGCATTTTGAATTTTGGAATAAGTCGTCCAACTAGATGGAAGAAAAGCAGTTTGTCATTCTTTCTCGCCAGCACCCTGAATCCACTATTAACACAAGGTTTCACAGAATGAAGTCATCCCTCCACAGAAATTGCGAGCAGCGACTGAACCTCCAAAAGCTGCGTAGAAACAGGGGGGGAAGCCACTTCTCCTAGCAGCTTGTGGCTAACCACTCTCATTCCAAAGAAACTATTCTCACTTCCAGTTTGAATTAGTCTGGCTTCAATTTTCAGACAACAGTTCCTGTTATGCCTTCTTCTGCTAGATTAACACTCCCTTCACCGTAAAAAATATTTTCTTCCCTTTGAAAAGGCTTTTTTATGATACTGAAAGTCACCTTTCAGTCAAGTTCTTTAAGTCTCTCACTACATGGCATTTTCCTCAAGCCTTGAATAATTTCCATAGCTATTTTTTGTACTCTTTAACACCCCTTTTAAAACCAGTAACGCCTGAACCATATGCCACAGTCTCACACTCCCCTCAGTGCTGAATGCAAAGATAAATGACCATCCCACCTCTTTTTCCCTATGTGCAGCAGAGCCCTAAGAGTCTAAATTCTCATTTGTCCAGATTAAGACTTAAATTCTTTCTAGCTTCTGCATTCCAGCACACAGATAAACACTCTGTAACTCTTGTATGATATTTTCCTCTAGATAGATACTTGGACACAACTTCCTGCATTCGAGTGAATTTTTTGTTTGCCTGTGTCCCACTTACCAGACAATCTCTGCATCATCCACAACTGTTCAACAGCCATTTATGACTACTGCCAAATCCATTGATTAAAAAATATGAGTACCATCTATATCCCAGAGGAGTTCCACTCAAATAATTTCTGGGATCTAACAATAAAGTTGAGAATTTCTTTAACTCAAGTATTATCCTCCCTTCCTTCACAGTTAAAAAAACCCAAACAAACCCACAAACAAAAAAACCAAACCAAAACTTACCTCAAAGGAATATTCAACGTTTCTTTCATTCTTCTTGTGTGCCAGTCCCTTTAATTCCACTTTTTCAACACTCACTATGAAAAAGCAAAGAGATAAAAACAATGAGGAGGATATTCTTGAATGCGTGCAGAAGTGATGACTCTTCAGTAGTGCCAGGACTTGCTTTGAGAGCATCCAACGACTTACGGGGGTGCTTCAGGTGCACAGCTCGGGCCGGCCTGGCCTGGCAGACAGAAGGTTGGTACCACTGCCCAGTGGCACTTCCAGTCCTAGCCTCAGCAGGGCTTCGTTTCAACCAGTATCCAAACAATTCACTAAACGCAAAGTTCTTTATTTCCTCATGGCCTCATCAAACCACTCATCGGTGTAAGAACAGCACGCTACACAAACACGCGTGGCTTTATCTCAGTAACGTGAAGCAGCCAACAACCACCCACCCGAAGGAAAAGCGGCGCACAGAGAAATGAAGACGGGCAAACGTTTCCATGTTTTCAGGGGCTGATTTTGCAGGGAGTTTAGTGTGTTTTTACTATAGTGTTGACACCACAGTTCCTCCTTGACTCCAGTTCCGTGGAAAATTTCAGCCTCAATTACTGCAATTTGAGTAAGTTGTAAGTAAAAACAGGATCTTGCTGTGGAAAGGGTTGAATAACAGTACAGGTCACTGCTTCCATCTCTACATATGATACGCAGCCTTTAAAGACACAATCTTACGCATCAGATATTTGATACGCTAAATTCTTGGAGACTCTCATTTCCCAATCCACACAGATCAGAAATTCCACCACGCTAAACTTTATGAAGATTATTTTACTGACTTTCTATTTCTCTTGCAAATCTCTCCTGCCTTTTGACTGCACACATGGGCATTCACAACGAGATTTTTTTTCTTGTAAAAGCCAATTTACATTGGCTTAAAAATTAAAAAGCAATTATACTAAAATAAAGTCACTAGAATTTTACTTCCAAGGGGCAGGTGCTTGAAGGGATGCACGCTGTGCATACTGTGTTTTCACTTTGTGGTTTTAACAATCAAAACCCAGAGCCCTACCATTTTGTTGCTGAGGAACCGCTGTTTACAAGATGTTTACCTGTTTTTGAGACTTTGTACACTAAGACTCAAACCGATGTTTAGCACATCTAACTTCCTCATAACATAACTGCGTGACGAAAGAGTTGCAGTGCAAAGTCACAGCGCCAGCATTACAACAGGCTGCCTATTTCATCAGCAGCCGCACGTCTCCCTTCTCCCCACGGCGAGCCAAAGCCACCCTATTGTCTGTCTGGAGCTTGATTTTCCTCTGCCTTAAAACAATCATGACCTGAAGTCTTTATTGTGGCCATTTAACATGTTCTGTTGTGTCCTGCTCACTTAATGTTACAACTTCAGTCTTGGCTCTTTTAAAGACCTCTTCTTTGAGTCTTATTTTTTTTGCAGTTGAAATTTTTAGAACTGGCAAGTTTTAAATAGATCTACAGGCGTTCATGTCTCTCTTTACAATACAGAATTAACACTCCTTTTATGATCATTTCAATCATTCCTTCTCCAGGTTAATTCTCAACATAGATCCTTGTGCTTCTGAATAACGTCAATTCACTCCTTACTACGTTCTCCTGCATACGATGCTTTTTGTAGACTTGCTCCTTGAAAAGTTTTCAGTGGATTCCTGTCACGCCTCTGAAATGATTTTACAGTGCTACCGTGCTGTTACACTGCATGCTGAGCACCACAGGAATAAATCTTCTGCATGCCAGATATCGATGAGCTATCTAGACAGCACGTAGTAGCATGAAGATTTAAACATGCGCACGGTTCAGAGGTCTTCTTGCCATTTTAAGAAAAAAAATCTACCTTGGTACGCTTCTTTAACAGAATTTAGGGCAACCTTAACTGTGATCACAGTTGAAAAACACTGAATATTGATTAGAATTATATGTACTTCAGAATTAGAAAGAGCTTGTAAAGCAGATATCGAGAGGGGGTATCGCCCTACTGTTGGTGAAACAGCTGAAGGACGAGCAAATTAACTTGGAGAAATCCTAGTGTCAACTGCTGCAACATCTGTTTTTGGAGTAGGACAAAGAAAGCCAGAAAGACATAGCAAGTGTTATTTCACATTTGTTGTTTATAGCAAATCCAGTATCACTTTACTGAAAGTGTTCTTATCACTGGTATTGCTACAGTATTCAAATACTATCTCTTCTACCTATTCCATTATTCCTCTACAGTAAATTCAAGCAAAGTAGGATTACCTATCAACATAAAATAAAGCTATTTCCATTTTACTATGTGGGTTAATAACAAACTTCAAATTGCCCCGTGGATTCTGTTGTGCTGACAGTTACGTGACCTTTTCATGCTAAAGTTCTGCTCTGAACTTGTTCAGTTAATATAATCTGCTGCAGTGAATTTATCCTCGGGAAAATGATTGCAATTAGCCAAGTGAACCATCAGGTAGGTATTTCTGCGCTCTCTGCAGTGATCCTAAACTGAATCTTGTAAGACTGTGTCTGTTCTAGAGCATGAAATAAGAGTTCACTGTGCAGCAGCAATATGCTTCTAGGGAAAACTGACTGGATAATTTCTAATATTATACAAAGTACTCCACTAATTTTCTCCCCACTAGCTAACACAGTGAAAACTATCTGTCCAAAAAAAAATTCCAGAGTCCTTGATTAATTTGTCAAGTTGTATGTTTTTTGTTTATGTGGCTTCTCACATATTCTTTGTATTATTTAACTTACGGTTGGTTTTATTTAAAAAAGCCTTCCTAAACCTACCATGAAACTTAAATTTACTCAGAGCAATCAATCATACAAAATTCAGAAAGAAAAAGGTGCCACCTACCAAGTAGGAGTGCGTGGATATTAAATTTGCTGTCTAACAAATTATGAAGTAAAAAAAGGTGTTGTTTTTTTGGTGTTTTTTTTTTTTTTTACTGTACTTACTCTCAAAAGCATGGGAAATTGCTCAAAGACGTGACTCTATCCAATATCACTATAAATGATTCCATGACCAGAAACCCCTTTGTACAGAATTAAGGACACATGATACTGTTGTCTTTTCAGGGTGCTGAATTCAGCAAAACTCAAGCTTCTCAACTCAGGGGATTTAAAAAAAAAAAACCAAAAAGTTTCTAATTCAAGAGGTAGCCAGAGCAAGTATATTTTGCACTAATTTAAATCTGAGTTTTAGGTCTGGAACTAATCAATAGGAACTCATCCAGAGTTAACGCTCACCACGTTAGGCTTTGTTGGTGTGCATGGGGCAGGATCGGAGCAGAGCAGCCTGGCAGGGTATCAGCCACCACACAGGATCTCAGATGTACCTTTTCTGTCTGCTCCTCTCCCCCAGCACTTCCCTGGAAAATGATCCCCAAAAAGTGTGTGTGCACACATGCCTCCCTCAGTGCTAGGCTTTCTGAGCTGCACGGGCCCAGGGGCACGGAAGATTTTTCCTCGTGGAGATTTATCCATAATTATCTGAGGAATTAAGGCAGATAAGCAAAACAGCCGGATGAGATCACAAATGAAGTAAGTAAAGGAATATAAAGGAGGTTGGTAGGACTTCAGCGCTGCAGGAGAGGCTGCAGCACCCTCTGTTACAAGGGTCGTGTGGCACCATTCAGAAAAGGGCAGAGTACTGGGACCTATCTGCACAGCCCTAAGTGTGCACTGACAGTTACTAGGAATCAGATTTTTCAACAGCTGAACCTTTAGTCTTTTGCTGAACTCCACTTTGAAAGGGCAGCAGAAAGTACAAAACCATCCTCATTCACTCCCAGCGATCAAGTTTCCTAAGGTGGTTTGCCGTTCTTTATCGCTACTTTATTTGCTGCTTTCTTTTAAACACAAAAGAGAAGCACTCTTCATGTAGTTTTCAATCGTACGTTGAATTTTATCAAGTATGGAAGCTTGCATTTGAAATACTGCAGCACAGAGGCAGGGTCATCTTTCCTCCTTTCCAAACAGGGCTTCCCCCATCCCTGCCACTGCTCCAAGATGCCCAGGTAAAACAAATCCAGTGAGTTCAAAAACGTTTTATTCAGTTCTGTTTTCCCTTTCTAGCCAGGGACTTTTACCCATTTGGCTGATCTGTCACTGATCAGTTGAGTGTTTCTGTGAAGGCACCGACAACTCCTTCCCTCTCCTCACGATCAGGAATTAAACCCTCTGGCTTTCTCAGTGCCAGCCACTGCTCAACCTCTCCCTCTGAAAGAGCAGGATCTTGGACCTCCTCCTCCCAAAATGTTAGCAGCTTCAGAAAGTGAAAGACCAAAGCAAACACTTTAGAATTAGCCACTCCTGGCAGGTCAAGGTCAGGGTAAAACACGGAGTGGTTGTGGGCATGAGCAGAAAACACATCATTTTTGGAAACCACCTTAATATCCCATTGTAGAGGTTGTGGGTTTTTGTTTTTTTTTCTAACTCCCTTTTTTCAGCTTCTTCATCAAGTCGCTGTTAACCAGTAAAAGGACTAGACAGATCATACTGAGAATTGTATTCTTCCTGAAAAAGTAAAAAAAAAAAAATAAAAATCAAGATAATCACAAGTGTTGAGTGAAGGGTAGTCCTTTCACATAATATCCAATATTTCAGCACTAACACCAGCACTCCAGAATTAAATGGAAAACACCTTCCACCTTTCACCAGTTTTACTATGCATATCAGTATAAATTGTACCAGTATGTTTTTCCTATGATTTCATGAATAGCTTTACACAGCGGGTTTGTTTTTGTTGGTTTTGTTTTGTTTTGTTTTGTTTTTTAGCAGTTTTCTTTACCAAAAGAAAGCATACCTGAAAGCAGAGCTTTTTTTTGTATGACCCTAGATAAAAACCACAGATAAGACTGCAAGCCAGGAGCAGGTCACGAGAGCTGAGCAACTGGGTTAAAGTGAATGACATTGAAACGATCAGGAAGAATTTACCACACAGTCAGAAAGAGAAATTTCTACTCCATACCTAGCTAGTTGGTTTCTTTATTAAATCACTGCATGTAGGTCCAGTTTGTGTGGCATGTAGCATGGAATTACTGTCCTCCAGCATTCAGGTGATAAAAAAATTTAAGTGTCA